AATTAATGGGATCAAAGCAGTACATGCAGGTTCATTTCTTATTCACACTCAGAGGAATTCCTGCTGCATCATTATTACATTGAGGCAGATTAACTGCAACTTGCTTGTCATCAAAGCCGCCATTCTACAGTGCTACTACATTCAGGAACTGTGTCCTTGACATCACATGCGAGCCATATATAGGAAACACAGATTTACAGTTACAAGCATGATAAGGTGAGATTGAAGTGAGCTTGCTTGTGCTAAGAACCTAGATGCCATATATGCAGAATGTTGTCTGCACTTGTTTGCTTCACTCTGTGAGCTTGACATTGCATAATGCAGTTAACCTATAATTGCATATGTAGTTCAGTTTAACATTGAATGAAAAGTTTATTTTATTGCAGTTACTCTACAGCCACCTGCCACAAACCAGAGCATTAAGAGAACCAGGGGCCAAGGAGGAAGCCACACAGCTCTTGGCTTTGCATGCCAACAAGAAGTTGGTTAAGAAAAGGATAGAAGAAAAGACGGGGAAACTTGTCCTGCTCAAAGACTTGAGCAATGCGGCCTCTTCCCTCAGACCACAGACAAGGAATGACCTCATTAAGACTGCAGCTCTTCTGCAAAATGAGCATGGTAAGCACCTGATATTGTAGCACAAGTTTTTAAATAATTGCATCTGGGTTTTCCAGTGGGCTTCAGAGAAACTCGTATGTACAGTCGGCCAAATCTTTTACATTTAGACCATGAAATTTATTTCTACAGGTACAGACTACCACATCCTTGCTGATGGGGAAAACTTCCAAGGAATTTTGCTGTCCAATGAGTCTATGCGGTCAAATATGGATGCCTACCCAGAATTCCTAGGAATTGATGCCACCTACAAGCTTCTAGAAATACGAACACCAGTCTATGTGATGCACGTTGAAGACTCCAATGGAGACACAGAGACAGTATGTGTTGCAATTCTTGTGAATGAGTCTGCACCCACTATCAAATGGATGTTGGAAAAGTTCAAGGAACTGCACCCATCTTGGCCAAAAGTAAAGTGTGTCATGGCAGACAAGGACCTTTTGGAGCGTGACCTTCTCAAAGAAAGCTTCCCGCAGTCGAAGGTGCTCATCTGTGTGTTCCACACTTTAAAGACTTTTCGACGCGAGATTGCCTGCAACAAGATGAACATCACTGCAGAGGAAAGGGACCAAGCCCTGGCACTGCTCCAGAAGATGGTCCTGTCACGATCGAGTGAAAAATTTGAGGAGCTTCAACTGGAATTTGACAATAATGTTTGCCAAGAGATCCGCTCTTACTATGACAAAAACTGGCGTCCCATCAAGGATGAGTGGTACACTGGACCCAAGTTTATGTCTGAAAACTTTAACAACACTACCAACAACAGAATTGAAAGTCTGAACGCAAAACTGAAAAGTGTTATAAAAAAGAATAGCTCCCTTGAAGAGTTTGTGTGCTCACTTTTCACAGTATTGAACGCCTTGAGCGATGAACGTGACCACAGAGCATTGACAAGCATATCCAAAAGACCTTGCAAAGCACCTTCTAGCCCTGAAGAAGCTATGTATCAGGAATCATTGACTCCCTATGCCTTTAAGCTTGTAAGGGAGCAGATCTACCTGTCAGCCAAGCGAGTACCAAGTGACCAAAAAGCAGATGTGTTCACATTCGAGGCGTCGTCTGGCAACACGTCAACAACAAAAACTAACTGCAATTGTTCCTTTTGGAACGCTATGAGACTGCCATGCCGGCATGTGTTTGCAGTTAGGCGGACTCTGAACATTAGTCTCTTTGATGACAAACTTTTTCTAAAAAGGTGGTCCAAGGCATATTACTACTGTCATCAGAGAGCCTTCCTTTCTCAAGAGAAGTGCACAACTGAACATTCCATTTCGGAGCAGGCTGCAAAACCTCGGAGGCCAATGTCGCAGCATGAGAAATACAGGGAGGTATTTCCTACATGCAAGTACATAGCTCAACTTGCTGCAGAAGAAACAGGTGAAAGATACCAGGGCCGTCTAAAAGTTTTGTTGGCACTCTCTGAGGCATGGGAGCAAGGGCGCGAAATTGAAATCGTGGAAGTGTTGCGTCATGAAGCCTCATCCCCTTCATCACCAGAGCAAGTCAGACGCCAGCTGGAGCTGACTGTGTCCGTAGAAGAGAATGCAGAGTCACCCAAAGCTGCATCAGGTGAGGATTGGGACACGTCTGAAACTGCAGATCAGAATAATTCACATGATCAACCAGATCTGCCTCAAGCACCTTTAAGCCATACCGGGGCAGAACCACTTCATACCACTCCTGAGAAAGAGCAGCGTGCCCATAATGCAGGTGCATGCGAAACTCCTGATGAAGTGAGAAAGGCACAGCCACGCGAGAATACCTTGGCCCCTGCAAGCAGCGCCGGGCCTTCAGACTACATGCGCGAACGCCTCGGAAAGCTGAAAGTGCCCGCTAAGGTGAAGTCACGAGGTCGACCCAAAGGGGCGGAGAAAACCGTTATTGGGCTTCCACGACGGCGGCAGGGACCCCACAAATCAGCAGCAACACTGCAGCCATTTCGCGATCTGCCTCCTCAGGAAAAGGAGCTCAGGATCCTAAGTTGCTTAGTTCCTCAGGGCCTGCTAAGTGAGGTTCAGCAGGGGAAACTGCTACTCGGTGAGTTGTGAGATTTACCTTTATTTATGCTTAAATTTCCTATTTTGTTGCAACTTCAGTCGCTATCTAAGGTGTAGTACGAAGGTGTCTGATATCACCTATAGGGCTGCAACTACAGCTACATTCTGTAAGAATATTGAGTGTTCAATTCACAAAATAAACCTGAGCCCTAGAAATAAGTTCCCCTTGTTCAGATTCATAGCATTCTGTTGTACCTTAAAGCCATCTGATGGCAGGTTCAGAACACTTATTCAGTAATTTTTACAGGTGAGGACCAGGTGGAAACCATACCTTCCAGGATTCCAGAGACAATCCTCGACGAGGAAGTTCACCTTGACTGTGTCCAGAAATACTTCACTGAAGACGGCTGGACAGCTGTGCTGGCAACAGTCAAGGTGAAGAAGCAAACCATAAAGTGGAAATGCAACGAATGTCGGGACCTGTTAGAAGAGGACCCTTCTGTGATTTGTGACTTATGTTTGTGTTGGTTCCACCAAATCTGTACTTCACTGAGCAGCCGCAACAGGAATAGTTCCTGGTTTTGTGCGAAGTGTGTAGCAGCAGCCCAAATGTAAAGGAGCTGCTCCGTGAGTGGAACACAGCGATGGGAAACCTGCTGCAATTGCTCCTACGTGCTATATTTTGTTAAAGCTGGTCCATACATGCTACAAATGAGCAAAATTACTCCAACCTGCTACGTTTTGTGAAAGCTACTACATTAATGCTACAAATGAGCAGAATTGCTCCAAAGCTTCTACGCAAGCAGGGTTTGCTTCTACGCAAGCAGGGGAGCTCGCAAGCAGGGTTTGCTTAAGCACAACAAAAGATGGCTGAGTGTATGCCCCACTGGCATGCTTATAAAAAATGGAAGAAAGCTTAGTGCTGTTTCATGCGAGTGACATTTACATGTATTGTGTGTCTGTGTATTTGTTCCTATTATTCTTCATACAATTGTGATCCTTTGATTAAAGCTTGCATTAGTTGTGCCTTCAGTGAACACTGAATTCATTCATTGTATACATAGTTTGCATTGACGTCACCATGGCCGCCATCTTAGGGCCCCCAGCTACTTTGAGATGCTGGGTTAGCTCAAACGGTGACATAGGATTTGTGCCGGTGCCCTTCGCGTTCCTTTGATTCCCCACAGCGCGCCTTGCGAACAGAAGAAAGTGGGGACATCACAAAAGAACACGGGGACCGAACAACTGTGTGTCCTCCTCTGCAATGGTACTCTCTAATGACATAAAAAGTCACGGTTGCCGCCATCTCGGAGCACCCAGTGCAGAGAACCTGTCTGTGATGTCACGTGAAAACTATGTATAATAAGAGCATTAAAATGCTATCTGGCCTGTCTTTTTCGTTTTTGCAACCTGCTAAGGAGGAGATCATGAGAGCACCCAGGCGTAGGCGGCTAGCTAGTTAGTGATCTAACTTGGCTAACCAGATAAATAAATTCGTTTGGTTTGCTAAGAAATGCTTTGCATTTAAAAATCTTACATCTTGTTTTTTTCCCTGCAGTAATTAGCTAACGACCCGCTCATCTGGAAACCTCGTGGACTCAAGCGCGCTGGTTAGTTTTTGGGAGCCGGTCGCAGTTACGGTTTCAAAGGTCAGCGAGTAGGTCGGCTCCCAGAATGGTTTTCGTGCAAACTCAGCTGGCTACATAGGCGCATATCACACAAAACCGCGTTCGCGAGAGTACCGCACAGAACTCTTTGCCCGAAAATTGCTCTGCCGAGGGAAGGACATCAGCCTCTGTACTTACGTGCGAGCCTCCCCCTTTCCGTTCAAAAGATCTGCTAGGAGAGAACGGCACCGCCGACATCGACGCCGTTCGTCAACCACGCGATGCTCTAAGTTTTCCATTGTCACCGGTAGTACTCGCTCCCTGTCAGTCTTTTACGTGAGCAGGCTCGCACGAAGGCTCGTTTCTTCGTATATATGCAAAAATTGGTACGCGGTAGCCGTGGACCCACCCGGCAACTCCCGGCGTACGTCCGACGTATCTTTTTTTTTTTTTTAGACTCAGTTTCGCGTACCCCCGACGTATCTTTAGACTCACGGTTTCGGGTACGTCGGACGTACCTTTAGCTTTTAGTAATCGGGTACGTCCGACGTATCTTTAGACTCACGGTTTCGGGTACGTCGGACGTACCTTTAGCTTTTGGTATTCGGGTACGTCCGACGTACCTTTAGACACACCGATATATATATGCAATTAAAGCAACTTGCGACATGCTAAGCAGATGAGCAAGCCACACTTCAAGGCTTGAAAAGGTGCCGGCTGCTGCAATAACTAAAATAAACGCTTAATCAAGGATCACCGTCAGAAAAATGAAAATTCGCACCTTGGTAGAATAGCACCACGTGAAACAATCAGTGGTTTCAGGTTTTGTGGCAGCAGCGAAGTCGAGAACGAGGAGCCCAGACTTCGAGCAGGGCGCACTGTTACGAACGATCGGAGAAGCTGCAGGCTGCCGACGGTCCCTTTGGTCACCGATGTGAAGGTATGGCCAATGCCTGCCTTCGCAATGTTACCTAAACCAAAGGATAAAGGACTGTTAGCTCGAACGTACCATTTCCACGAGAAAAGGAACTTACTCAAAAGCGAAGGTAGCGTCCGCACGCAGGCCATGTTTCACGCACGTTCCGCTGATCGTCCATGGATCGGCTGCATGCGTTCGACAACTGTTCATGCGGAAAGTGTCAGTAAGCAACGTGTTTGGTGATTAATAGTTGCTGCTGCAGTTTTGTATGTTAGTTTTCAAATAATTTGCAGTTATTTATTGATATATTTTGGCCTATGTTTTTAAAGAAAGAAACATTTATTTTCATACGCAACTAGTATGCGAATTCGGCCAGCCTGCCGTCTTCTCGCAACACAGGCAGCCGGTCCTTTAAAATGTGGCGTTCAACACGACAAGTTTCGCAGCGTTATTCGCTTCTGGTAAGATTTTTTGGTGGTACGTCCTGCACGGTGGTTAATGCGGCACACTGATTAATGTGCTTTTATGCCTAAAAGTTTTCTTTCGCTTGTGCTTAGTGTTTTCAGGCACTTGAAACACAAGGTAACCCTAATTCTTGAACATGCACTCAAGGTTACGTTAGTGTCATATTTGAAGGACACTTGCTATATTTACAATTCACTGTCAAGTAAACGTGCAAAGTGTTATTTGTGCTGTCCGAGCCTGACATCTAAGTTGTTGCTGCTGCTCGGTTTGCTCAAGGTTGTGGCTCGAACTTACTTAATCCGCATGCTGAGAGATTTGTTTAGTTTCTTCTAGTTGTAGGAACGAGGTCTGTAGTTAAATGATGTAACAGTGTGTTCTGTGTGTTTCAGCTCACCGGCAGGCAACAAAAATCCAGGTCACCCGTTCAGAGCCGTCTGCAGTCAACCAACTCTGGAAGGTTGTAACATTGTTGTTCACCCTTTTTTTTTTTCCTTTGGGGATGCTTTAGTTTGTCGTCTCTTGTCTCCGAATACATATTAACACATAAATGGTTTTTCTTGTCGCCAACTGCACAGAACTTGATCAGGTTTGTCGTACTTAAAATAATGTAAAATCTAGGGTCTGAAGATAAGTTTTCATTTATAGTCATCATTTTTTCCCCCTGAATCTGTTGTCAATTTCACACCTGGAATAAAACATTCAGTGTCAAGTTTCTTGTGGCAGCCACAATTAGAACAGCAAAAGTTGAGAGCTAGTTCGCAAGTATTAATTACAAAGTGCTCACAGGAGAACACGGCATTTGTGTTGTCTTGTTCTCTTGTCCTATGATTGTGTTTGCATGCCCACTCTGTCCTCTGTTCTTACATTGAGCTAAAGTCTGGGAGCCTGATTGGTTCATTCACTCCATGATGTAAGATTAGCTTGGTGCAGCTTGGTGGGAATTTTAGGAAGCCCAGTTAGTTTTGTATTATGTGATTTTTTTTTCTGACTGATGGCTGTGACCCAATCTTGCTGTTTCCATGGTAGGCAGTAGGTTTGATTGGCTTCAGACCTGGTAATCATTGTTTTTGCCAGAACATGGTAAATAGGTAGTAAGCCTTATTAAGGGTTTAAAGGGCCACTAACCAGGCCTCATAACAAATTTTAGTTGTACCGTAGAAGTTGTATGTTTGAAGAGGAGCATTATGCCACAAAATTTTTTTCGATCTGTTCATTACGAGCTGAGAATTAAGCGCTTCTGTTGTGTGTTCTGTGTAATAGTGACTGCGCTTCCTAGCGAAATGGATCCTTACCAGCTGGCCCGATACAATTGTTTATTGAGCTGAGAAAGCTGGTTTTTTTTTTTTAAGCGGCACGAAACGAGGATGAGAGGAGACGAGTTTCAGTCTCCCTAACAAGCGTAACCCTCGAGCACGTGAGCGGCGTATTGCCTGTTTTTGTGGGATGGTTTGGAAACGCTAGCTGCTGGCTTAGACCCGGTAGAATAGATTAGCAGGAAGAGTGCGCGAACGCGTAGGAACGTTAGTTTCGCCACGGACGCTTAATATTTTTTTCTGGTCATGAAACTCGTGCGAAAGTTTCATATGGGGACAAAAGTGGCCACCATAGGCGCAACCGTTAGCAGGAGGGCATCGATCGGCCGTGCTTGGCAGGGATGTAGTGCGTTCGCGGAAGCGTTTTCTATCAAATACACTTTTTCAGATATTTTCGTTTCTCCGTGTTTTCACTAACAAATCATAGCAGCTATTAGTATTGTCAAAGTGACCCATGATATTCGTTGTCAAATTGCCTAAGTCCTTGATTGCTGGCAATGTTTTAACTGAGTCCGTCTGTCAAGTGACGCGCATTCGTAGCGTTCCTAAATTTCTCAATTCCTGCATAATCACTTCCGAGCTTAAACCGAACCTTGTGACTGGTTCTAGATGACTGAAAGGTTGACACAGTTTGTGCTAGAGATTGTGGAGCAGCTGTGCTCTGGCTGCGCGTAGCGTTTATTTTTGGAATTATTTTATGAGGTACCACGAAGCAGCCAATAGAAGTTCGCGTGCCAATAAACATACTTGTATATCAGGGTCATTTGGCATTAATAGCCTTCAAATACCTCTTGGAGGATATCGTTAGTGATAAATCCGAAAAATTTAAAGCTCAGAATGAGACACCACAAAACAGAGAGGGATGCTCAAGTTGTGATCTATTTTTTATTTGGTGTCATAATTTGCACCCTTGATTTTAAATATTAAAAAATGAGATGAAACTGCTGTGAGCTGCTAGATATAACCCCTACTTGCTATTTCGAAACGAAAGCTTTTGATTTCACGCATGTAGATTTGATAACGCAGCCGAGTTTTGATATACGCGGCTTTTTTTTTTTTAATCCATTCCCATGTACTTTCCTAATGAGCACGACATCTAAGTCCGCATTCTAATTAGCCACCTTCTTCCTCCTACGCGCACATAGAAATCAACCAGGTTCTTCCTTCAACCTAGTTGTTCAGTTTTTTTTTATGCACCTAGATATTTCTTTCAATCTAACTTAAGCTTTTTATGTGTGAGACATTTCTGTCTAACAGAAACAAATCTGCGCACCACTTACCTAGCAGTGGGTAACATTTTGAATTTGGCAACTACGCTACGCCTTCCAAGCAAATGTAGGAAAACATGTCAGCATTTTTTTTTTCTTTGCTGAAATTACTGGCACTCGTTGAGAATTTGAAACTGCCATGAGCACAGGCCCATAGTTTATTCAAATCTGCATTTCATAAACTGTGGTTGAAAGTTGGGAGATAGATTGAACGACACAACAAAAATTGCTGAAACAAGTTTCCGCTGGCATAATTGAAGCTGTTGCTTCACGCTGCGAAGTCAGGCCTTCACTCTCTGTAACTCCAATGCTGAACAATCGGTGACTTCTGTTTCACGCTCTGTACGAGTGTAGCCATTCTGATTCTCAGTTCTCGCAACATCTGCAAAGAGTGAGAAACTGCAGCGCAAAATTTATAAAGGAAGAAACCAATTTGGTTAGCGTATTGAGCGGATAGGATACTTGCAAGCCTTGTGCCAGACTTACCATCGATTTCTTCGTCGGCTGCACTGGAGATGTCTGCATTCACGACTGTTGCATCACAATCCGGAGAAAGCACTCGCGCCCTTTTTAGAGGTGGGTGCTTCGTTGCATGTGAATGCTGTTTTGGTTTGAAGAGGTAAGAAGGCAAAACTTTGAAAATCCTCGGCATGGCGTCTTGCACCAGTCTCTGTCGTTCTCGAGGCAACGAAACGATGACTTCGTTAACTGTGCACATGTCGTCACGGACAATTTCACTGGCGTCGAAATGTTTACACACGCGAGCGTTCTTTGAGTATAACGAAAATCCGGCAGTCTCTTGTCGGGAGAACGCATGTTTCCACCTGTCACGTTGTTCTTTGTTGGCTGGCAAACAGAACAGGTAAACTTTTTCGTTGGTGCCCTTGTATCCGGAGCGACACCCCGGCACGCAGCAGGTGTTGGGCATCACTGTCAACACAATGTGACTCCGAAAAGCAAAAAATGAGGGCGATTCGCACGACTACCACGACTCCGCGCCAGCACTCCGCTAATGCGGCCAGCGAAGCAGCCGACCAAGCCGGCTTCCTCGACCCTCTATTTTATTCCAGCTCTGCGGCGTGGAAATTTCAGGTGGCCTATGAAGCCCTCTTATTGAGTGATGCGGGAGTTTCACGACCAGAAAAAAGTATTAAAGGACCATGGTTTCGCTCACACGGCTGTGGTCTGCTTGACGCGCTAATCATGGGGACATAAACGCATGGGAAATGCTGGCACATTAGCCGCGCATCTCATTGCAATTCACGGGAAAAATAGAAAAAAAGGCGCACACATTCTCTTATTGCATCTCATTATTTATCTAAAAATTTTATTATTCTCTTTAAGCAACAAATTACATAGACTACGCATGTCGTGTTAAATAATTTACGTCATGTCACGTGCCACTGTAGGCAATGTCGGGGCACAGTTGTCTATGTAGAGAACCAATGTCACTGCACTGCCGTGTATGTAGGACAATTCATACGTGCCCTCGTATGCCCTCATTTTCTAGGCCCACGAAAGGAAGGGGGAGCAGCGTCGATCTTGAAATGTGACCCATTTTTGCGACGCGTAGCATTACAAATTTTGGCAGACGGGATCATGAATGCCCCATGTATACATTGTGCTTGTCAGCTCAAAATTGTCAAACCTGGTGAGTGGCCCTTGAAGGGTTCAGCGAGAAATTACTAGCCCAGGCTGGGTCACCAGGGGCCATCGTCCTGAAAGCATTGTGTGGTCCTTGGCAATACTCGTGGCTTGCTGGACAGCCCAGTGTTGGTTGATTGAATGTGGGCTGAGAAGGGCAACTCGCCACCACTCATCCTGGGGTAGAAGAAATCTTTGTGAAATCTAATTGTTTCTGCATTATATTTCTAGTTTTCCTTTTTCAATTGCTGTATGCCTGAAATGTGATTGTATTTCATTCCCTATAAATCCCCCCCTATGTAATGCCCTCCGAGCCCTTGGGGTAGTGATAGTGAATACTGCATTTGCAGTCCCATAGTATGCAGGCCACGTCTGCCGTCATGCCTGCTCAGTGGACAGCCTGGCAAGGGGAGGGTCTGTGCAGGTGCCCGGGATTTTCAAAAGTCTGCGTTTGTAGTTACCTCAGGTCCAACACCTAAAATTTGTCAAGCTGTTTGTGAGGTGGTGGGCAAAGTTTTTGCTTTTTCTGTAATGGCTGAGGATTTCCTGGATCATAAGCCATGACATTCTTGCAGTCTTTTATGGCCTTGGAGTCTGGCATTATTGTGGAGATATTCTGTCCTCCATCCCCACCTGCCAAACCATTGTCGAAGCTGGTGTGCTCATTATAGTTGGATGGGAGGTTGGGTCTTCGTTCGTTGCGAAATTCTCCCATGTGTGCAGGGAACCATTTGAGAGGCGGGGTCCTAATTGCTAACATGTACTGTGCACATTAAAGCTGTATTTTGTGGTTTTTCTACTTTCAGTGGACCAGGCAAAACAATAGCTCTTGCAACTGGCGTGGCTACTGTGGGCATTGGTGGGGCTCTTGCTTACGCAAAATTTGACTCGGACTTCAGGCACAAACTAGAAAGCAGCCTTCCTTATGGTGACTCCCTCATTGGCAACATTCTTGGACCGGCTGAAGCACCCATGTGAGTACAGGCTTGGCTTGCATTGCAGAACAGCACTTTTTCACTCCTAATGAGCCACACCAGTCACATAGGCATTTAGTTGGGATTGAAATGAAAGAAGTTGCTCGTCAGATTTCGAATTTGTATGTAATATTTATGTAAGGAACTGTCATCATTATCACTGGATATGTACCACAGAAATTGGAAAAATCCCACTACTCAACACTGGTATACTAAAAACAAAGAAGGGAACATGTGGGCAACAAACACAGATTTAGGTTTTCTGACTGGCATAACCAGTAATTAAGAAAGTAATTAATGGACCATCAGGATTAACTGAATCAAATATGCCGGGGTCACACGTTTCAGCTTTGCTGATTAACGTTCTGTACAGAGTGCTCGGGTGGGGATTTACGTTATTGTACTTGTCTAGGCTCATAATTGTGATCACTAAGGGCTTTTTTAAATTGTAGATCACCAAGAGAGTATGCAAATAATTTACTAACTGAATTTTTTCAGAATTTTTTTTTGTGTGTTCTGCAAAGCTGCTCAATAAACACCCGCTCAGGTAAGGTATACAATCACATCTTACAAAAGCTCTAGCCTGCAAAGTGGCTGCATTGTGATAGCATCGCAAAACTGCTGTAATCTGCTTACTTGTTCACCATGCATTTTATTGTAACTCTTAATTTTTATTTTTTGATTGTTAAGAGTACTGGCACGATTTTGAAGCAGTGCACAAGAGACATCTTCATTTCCTTGACAGACTATATTAATGCTCTCTGTACACTGGAGCTGGGAAACATGTATAAAAGGTATTCAGATTTCATTTCGAAGTTTTCATTGCCAACGGTCTGCATGCCATCTTCATCACAATGGACATTGTCATGATGCGCCGACACATTTACTGGGCCTCTGTGTCCTGTGTGCAGCCAAAATCTCTGAAACAGCAGTCGCCATGCAGCAGTTTATGCTTTGCTTTCAGCCAAAAAGTGATATTCGCTCAAGCCTAGAGTTTTTCGCTAGTGATTTAATTTTCAACTATTTTGCTGGTGAACTTAAGCGTAGCTGTGTTTATAATACCATGTTTTAGCGAGCCGATTGCGCTAACTTTTGCATTTTACAAAGACAACTTCAGTGCTATTGCTGTTTCTTTGCCTATTATGCATCGTGAAGTGTCCTTACCCAATTTTGGCAAGCTTCACACTATATAGCAGTACCACAATAGGGCCATTGTTTTAGTTTCAAGGACACTAACAGTAAAAAAAAGGGGAAAAAATAACTGGAAGTCAGTAATATGCTTATGAACCAGCTGCCTCTGTACATTTTTTTTTAGCCAAAGATAATGGTAATGTAGTACTGAATCAGAACTGTGCAAAACTTTTTCAACGTTGATAGTCTTTGCCTGGTTTTATGTATGTGTTTGTATCTATATATATATATATACATATATATATATATATATATATATATATATATATATATATATATATATATATATATATATATATGAGATATAACACAGTAATGCCAAGGGATGTACAGGGGAAAATATTAGAACCAATGGAATGTAAATAAGAAGAAAGAAGAAACAAAAAGTGGATGAAAAAATTACCAGCTGTGAGCAGGAATCGAACTTACGACCTTCGAATAACGCGTTCGATGCTCTAACCACTGAGCTATCACAGCGGCCGTCCCTCCATCCACTTTTTGGGGTTTTTATGTGAATTTAGAAGTAGGAGTGACACTCAGCACCATCTATAATCCAAACGAGTGTGAAAACACTCTTATTCGCATGTTTGGCGTCACGTAGCACGTGAACTTATTATGAGCGGGCAGCTGATTAATTGTCCCTCTTATACAACCTAAACACACCAAGTCTGCCAGTACGAGACCCTCGTTCAATGAAATAAGGGAGAGAAGTGTATACCTAAGGGCTCGTATTTCCGTGTTTTAACACAATATTAATGAGATATAACAGACAGTAATGCCAAGGAATGTACAGGGGAAGTTATTAGAACCAATGGAATGTAAATAAGAAGAAAGAAAGAAAAAGTGGATGAAAAAATTACCAGCTGTGAGCAGGAATTGAACCTACGACCGTTATTCGAAGGTCGTAGGTTCGATTCCTGCTCACAGCTGGTAGTTTTTTCATCCACTTTTTCTTTCTTCTTATTTACATTCCATTGGTTCTAATAACTTCCCCTGTACATTCCTTGGCATTACTGTCTGTTATATCTCATTAATATTGTGTTAAAACACGGAAATACGAGCCCTTAGGTATACACTTCTCTCCCTTATATATATATATATATATATATATATATATATATATATATATATATTGCTACGGTATGAGCCGGGCTGTAGTATGTTGTGGGGAGGTAGAAGAGGAAGACGACGTTGTCTGGTGTGGCCTGAGGACTCCACCTTTACCGCGACTGCCGAACTATATATAAGTATGGGATATGGCACAACGGGAGCGTTGTCAACAAGGATAAATATATTTATTTCCCAACAGTTTCGGGAGGGTTCCTCCATCAGGGGATGAGTTATACTAACATGAACTTCCAAACTCCGTTGCTGCCGCGTCCCGACTTGAAAGATGTTCGCGAGAGTGAGAGAGAACTAAAAAAAAGAAAGAAAAAAGAAAAAAAAGACGAAAAAATAAAAGGGGAAAAAGAAAAAAAGTAAAGAAGAGGAAGAACCACTGTCAACACTGAGAACGAAACCAAATGTCCGTGTACGTCCACATCCAGTTCTTATCCCGTGCTGGTCAGTTGTCGGCGTGTGTCGCGCCACCCAAGATTGTTGCCGCGGTGGCGGGAGGGGTTCGTGACTGCGTGCATAAGAAAAGGGTTTCCCCTTGAAGGGTATGTATGTATATATATATATATATATATATATATATATATATATATATATATATATATATATATATATATATATATATAAAGAAAGACAGCAGGATAATGCTTTTCACTTGTAGGTTTTGCCTTGAGAGTGCATGTTGGCTCAGATGAAGCTCTTTGTTGTGCAGTAAACAGCTGCCTGCGGAGAAGGTGAAGGAAAAGGCCCTGGAGTCTAGCCTCTTACGCAAAAAGGCACCAGTGGAGCCATCAAGGGTAAGTGTGTGACTGTACAAAGCTTACTCAGTGGTACTCGTAAATTTTACTGCTTGCAAGGCATTGGAAGTTGCGTGACGTAACAGTGCCAGATATTTCATAGCTAAACTGTGCTGGCCTGGTTGCACTAACATTTTCCTCGGAGGGAGCACCATGTACCAGGCATTTGTCTCAATAATACATTATGCTACATTACCTGACTGTTCTGTCGCGACTACATTGGAAGTGCAAGTACTCATTCTCTGACATTTCTGAAACTGTTGGTTAAAGTGATGTCACAGTTCAGACCTTTTCATTGTTTTACCTGCTTGTTAAAAATAGGGCTTCATTACTTAATATGTCATGTTTATCTATAGTTACACATATGTGTATGATTACAACCTAGCTGTATCAGAGAGACTGTTCCTGTCTCTAACTCTGAAACATAAAGTAAAATTAAAATTCTCACTTTTTGCCATTGTAGTGATAAGCATGAGAAATTTTTGTAAAACGGTATTATGTGAGGGCATCTCTGCTTGAAGTGCATCATTTTATTGTCTTGTGGCCTAGACTGCTGCATTCCTGATGCCAACAGCTTTACCATGCTGGTTCGCCATCCTCACTATCCATGGCGCACATCAGCTGTGTCTGAAGTGTTGCTGTGTTGTTACTTCTCAGCCACCTGTTTGCAGGGGCCGAGAAGTAACTCATATTGGGGGGGGGTTCGCTTAAAGTAACACCAAAGAGGCGTGGACATGACTTTTTTGTTTTACTAGAACAAAAATCCCATTGTAGCATAGCCAACTTGGTTATTAATAATGTTGATTGATTGCTGATTAATGTTTAATAATATTTCGAGCCTAGGCAAACAAACTGTGGGATCCGTGCAGTCTGAAGTTATTGGCGCCGGAATGAATGAAACAAGAATGAAAGCAACTACCTTACATGATTGCTGATTAATGTTTAATAATATTTCGAGCCTAGGCAAACAAACTGTGGGATCCGTGCAGTCTGAAGTTATTGGTGCCGGAATGAATGAAACAAGAATGAAAGCAACTACCTTACAGATTGGTTGGGCTCCTTATATCGAAGGATCGCGAACTGCTCGCCATGTATCTGTAGGTAGTACGCTTCTGGTACCAGCAGCATGCTTTATACTACCGTTTGCAGCTTTAGAGACGTGCTTCCAGTTTCTGAATTTTTCAGCTTTGGTTTGGACACAGTGCCTTGTGTTTTCGAACCCGTTTGAGCTACATTCGCTAAAACTCCAGTCGTAGGACTCTGACAGATAACAAGGCATGAAACACATACATATGCATGTGTTTGCAAGTAGACCAAGCTATCTGGCATCCTCCTTTTGCTTTTTTTTTTTTTTAGAATGTGCACGCATGTGTTGTTGAGATGTTCAAACTTGTCCAGCAACAAATTGTGCTGCTAGTCACTGTGGTGGCTCATTGCTAAGGGTGCTCGTCTGCTGACCCGGAATACGTAAGCTCGCTCTGAGCTACGGTAGTCACATTTAGGTGGAGGCAAAATTTTAGAGGCACGTGAACTGTGGGATGTGTGTTATGAACCCCAGCTGGTCGAAATTATCTAGAGCTTTCGAATATGCGTCTCTCATAGCCTTTTTGGCAGCCCTCTTGAGCACTGCTGTGAATTAGTAGTGAAATATTTTCGAGCCTAGAGCACTAGTGACAATGACGATAAAGCCGAGTGACTGCATGCGGCCACAGTGTAAGATACATAGTTAAACCTGACTACATTTTGAACTCTAGTAACTCGAATGATTCATTTTACAAATTGTTTTTAACATGTCAATGCTGTATATACTGGCATGATAGGCACACTTCTTTTTCAAAAAGACCAAGTTGAAGTCCGGGGTGCAGGGTAAAATGTTTTGATAAATTTGATTTTGCTGGTTTCAAGCCATGTTGTGATGGATGAACCAATATCCACAGAGCACCTCCTCTTTTTTCTTTCTTTTGTGTCACTGTAGCTGAGTGGAGCAAAATTAAGTTATAGGGTTTTCACGCTTCTTGTCATACACATGATCTCATTATAAAGCACGCCAAAGTGGTATGTACGCACTGCCAATTTCGAGCACCACTTCGTTCATTGTAAAATGGTCTACGCAGCCACATATACACTTGTCAGTGAAAAGCCCAGATATTTCAGCATCATTTCTGTGGCAGATGGCTCGATCTCTACGGGCACGAGGCTGAACTAGGGCACCGCCATCTTGCTCGAAAACAATCAATAACGAACAGAAAATATTGTAAGTGTGTGTAGGTCACTTGACCACCTCCTGCCATGAGAGGCGCAGCATGAACCTCTTACATCTCTGGGAATATTTTAAATGTATGCCCCCCACATTGTACACACAACGTTTAGGTGGGGGGCAGGGGTATTAGTAGTTGATAGAATAGCTTGCTTGTGTGTGTGTGTGTGTGTGCGCGTGTGTGTGTGTGTGTGTGTGTGCATGTGTGTGTGTGCGCGTGTGTGTGTGTGTTTGCACGCGCGCGCGTTTAGATGCTTTTTTAAATTTTATTTTGACGACCACATTGGTTAGTCGGCGAGCTTTTAAAAATTGTTTTCTTGATTGATTTGTTTTTATTCTGTTCACAGTGGCCGTGTCTAAGCTATATGGCTGGCTGTAGTACTAGTTAGAGAAGTATGGGCAGTTGACGAAATGACTTTTGCGCTCACCGTCGCGACTTTCTTTTTGACGGCTGCATGCCATTATCATTATTTTCCCTGACAAGAAAAAAATATGTGAAGACATTTGCCAGTTATAGCTGATAGATCATATTAGGTTCCCATTTATAAAATCTTTTTCTTTGGTAACTTCCGTGCTATCATTTCTTCGCTTACATAGTGCTAGGAATTTAGTTTGATTACTTGTACGTTAGCATCATAATTCTTGGCAAGTGGACATTATCATGCTGGCTCTCATATTGAATTGTGCAGCTTGAAGCAGTGTTTTTATGATGCCACTTGTTTTCTGCAGAGCGAACTGAAGCCTGCTTTGCCACCACCACCTCCAATTACTGCCGCTCCGCACACACCTGTAAAAGGTTTGCTCTTGCCTTTGTTTCTTATTGTGCATATTCCATACTTCTGTCTTGAATGAGAAGAGAATTAAATGAATACTGAATTGTTTTGTCTGGCAGCATGCCTAGCATGCAAAATCGCACTCGTAATACAAGCAGAAGTGCTTGATGCCACAAAAATGAGGAACCTTTATAGAACATACATGCAAATTTTGTTTGCGTGCATGGGCAGAGATTACTGCATTGATTGACAGATTGTAATAAATTGATATACCAGTATCCTCATGAAACAAAATTGAAAAAATTAACTTTATTTTTTCACTAAACTGCAGTTGTTTTATGTTGTTACTAGACTTCTATTCTTAGTGTAGTATATGCCATTCAATGGCAAGTAGTTTTTGTGCAAATTCTTTGCATTCTAAAGTAAGTCTAATAGTTGGGCAAGGTATGGTGGTAATGTATGTATACATACTGAAACTTCGCATTGATTATTTTGCAGTACAATGGTACTAAAGTTGGAGGCTAGGTATTTAATATTGTTACCAAGGAACCTGAAATACCGTATTTACTCGATTCTACCGCGCCCTCGATTGTAACGCGCACCCGATTTCCACCGCGAAAAAAAAAAAAAAAACAGGTAAGACATCGATTGCAACGCGCACCCATTTTTTCTCGCTGGCCCGCATGATCACACCACTCGAAAAAACGACTCCTTTCGGGAACGTCTTCCATTTAAATATGAGGTACGGGCGAAGCTTGTGCCCATCTGACGTGTAACAGAGCATTGCCGTCACTGTAGTTTTACCGTGGATCGATGTCAGCACGCGAACTTGCTTCGCCCCCTTCTTCTCGACGGTTGTGGTGCCAGGCATGTCGAAGTAAAGAGGCGTCTGATCGGCATTCCCGATTTGCCCAAGCAGGTAGCCGTTGTTGCGCCGCAAGTTTAGGACAAACCTCTGAAAACTGTGAAGCTTTTCATCGTACTCCTCCGCAAAACTTTTCGCATATGCATGTTCCCCTTCGGAGGGAAAAGCCTTTCCTCTTCATTAAGTTAGTTAGCCAGCACCTGCTCGCTTTAAACTGGCTCCGCATTAGACATTTTTCTAAGAGTAATTGCATAGCCCGCACTTGGAGCAGTTCTGCCGTCACGGGCCGCTGTGCTGCTCGCTGCTCAAGCACATACTCGCCGAGCAGCTCTTTAATTTGCGGAAACCGACCCTGCTGTGGTCCACTGAAGTCTTTGCGTAAAGCTTTGCTATCGAAAATCTTCTGCTTTTGTTTCCGCCGGTCCCGCACGCACGTTTCGGGAACTCCTAACGACCGCGATGCGGCCCGATTTCCGTCCGTTTCTGCACACGCGATGACTTTTCTTTTAAAAGCGGCATCGTGGTGCACTCGAGTTTTTGGAGTCGGCCATTCCACGCCGTCGATGCTAATGCACTATTAGATGAACTCCTCAGCACACGTACGAAGTGCCGCACATGAGAAACACATAGACAGAAATGGACGACGCGCCATGCCGACGCACGTTGGGGGCGGCCATTTTAGATTTGCCAATGGCAATAGATTGGCCGTAATTTTTTTGTTCGTACTCGATTCTAACGCGCATGCGATTTATGAACTCGCTTAACCGGAAAAAAGGTGCGCGTTAGATTAGAGTAATTACGGTACACGTGCCCCAGTTTTGCAATGACTTGCATTTTATAGTGAATTGGTTTGATCCCATGAAAAACCCCCATAGAAATAATGCATTGAGAACTTTGATTATTGCTGAAAGTTTCTGCCAACCCCCATTATACAATGGCTCTCCAATGCCACATGAGAAAAAAAAATAACCCTTTTTTTTAAATCGAATTTAACACCCATCAATTATTCACAGGTGTAAGAACAAAAAGTAACGAGCCTCAAAGTTAATTATTTTAAAAAAACATAGCGCTCCACCGTGGTGGTTCAGTGGCTAACGTACTCTGCTGCTAACCTGCAGGTCGCAGGATCGAATCCTGGCTGCGGCGGATGCATTTTCGATGGAGGCGGTAATGCTGTAGGCCCATATGTTCAGATTTGGGTGCATGTTAAACTCCAGGTGGTCTCAATTTCCAGAGCCTTTCACTTCTGCATCTCTCATAATCATATGGTGGTCTTGGGATGTTGAACCCCACATATCAATCAATTACAGTCGAATCTCAATAATTCGAACTCGAAGAGGCCTGAAAATTTGTTCAAATTAAAAGAAGTGTAATTAATGAACGGTAAATGAACGCAGGGCTCGCCATTCATTGGCACATGTGCATTGAGCTAACACATGAGGGGGAAGTTTCAGAAGACTTACATTTATTCACAAATCACTGGACATCCATCATTAAGTGAAGTAATAATCGGGGATGCGCGTCTGTCCATGTTTGCCTTGCGGCGAGCCAATTTCGCACGCACCTTGCAAAGCATTTCTACTTTGGCTTCAGCACTCTCCTGGGAAGAAAAGTTGCGCACGGCAATGTCCAGCGCCGACACACTCTAAAGACGACGACGACAACGACTGCGTCTCTGCTACTACCATCTGCGCCACAGCATGGCCAGCACATGACGAGAAAGGAGGAGCGTCCCCACAAGAGAAGCAGATCGGCATTTGAGAGAGAACCAACACTCCACTGCAGCTTTTTTTTTTTTTTTGCTCTCTGCACGAGCTTTTTTGAAAGAAGGGTCTACGTGGCAGAGACAGAAAAGGGGGAAGCGTGGCAACAGCTTGTAAGAGCCAACACTTTGCGACAGCTTTCTTTCTTTTCTTTTTTTACTCTCTTCCCACATGGCGCTGAAAGAAGGGCTTTTACATGGCAGGGATGAAAAAGAAAGAAGCGTGGCACAGGCGCGTGTAGATCGGCATTTGAGAGAGAGCTAACATTCCGCCGCAGCCTTTTCTTTCCTTTTCTTTTCCTTCGTGCGCAGCATTGGGGTGTCGGAGGTTCCGCTACGAGATTGGGCGGGGTGCTGAGAGCCCATCGGAACATAGTTAGCTTTGACAGGACCTCAGCGTGAGTTTGAATTGAGCGTTTTCGAATCAAGGAGATTCGACTGTATCAGAAAAAAGATGGGGAGACAGGTATGGTATACCTTCTTATAATTGAATATTTATTCTTCTGGCAACTCAATTTCTTTTGTGATCCTGTATTCCTGACTTCCAGATTCCTTCTGAATATGCCTTGGTTGCGGGCATATTCTGGGTGTGTTACCCAAACAAGCTTAATTTGCACGAATTAGCTTCAACTAGTTGGCTCAGCTTAGAGGCTCGCGTAGTTTCACATTTTCAGCTTGCGGTTCCCTTCTTGTGGTCGACATACAGCTGAAGATCTTTTACTTGCAGCACCTGCAGTCGAACATGCAGCAATCTTCAGCATCCAGAATAACTTTCCCTTGACGTGAGCATTCATAATAATAGTGGCACATTACCAACTGCGCTTCACGAGTGAACAAATAGAATGCCCGCAGATTATTCGCACATGAAATCGTCCTAATCGAACTTGCCACAAATTGTGCTGATTTGCCTCGCTGCGGTGGTCTAGTGGCTAAGGTACTTGGCTGCTGACCCGCAGGTCACAGGATCGAGTTCCGGCTGCAGTGGCTGCATTTTCGATGGAGGCAAAAATGTTGTAGGCCCGTGTGTTCAGATTTGGGTGCATGGTAAAGAACCCCAGGTGGTTGAAATTTCCGGAGCCCTTCACTACGGCGTCTCTCGTTATCATATATTGGTTTTGGGACGTCAAACCCCACATATCTATCTAAATTGTGCTGATTTGCCACATGCCATGTCGATAATGCCGTATTTGTCTCTACCAACACGGTTTCGGTTTTGTTTTTGTATGCTGGCAATTTTCGGACTCTTTTTATAGGGGAAAAAATTGTGCATCAGATTAAATTTTTTAGTTAAGAATAAAGATTTGCTGACACCTTGTCAAGTAAATTGTCATTCTTAAAGATAATGTGATCTACCTTTCTTCGAGAAGTTTAGGATTGTGCCATGGCTAAATATACCTGTTGTTTTGGGCAAGGCTGAGTGTCACTGCCTATATTTATAGTTCTTTATTATGCAATGCCTGGATTATACAACTGTTTTTTGCAGTCCCCTTAAAGGGACACTAAAGAGGAAAACTATTTTTCATGTGTTAGTAAAGTACAATTTCACAATGCCAGAAACAGTGCTCTTACAGAGAAATAACGCTTGGTAACTGAGAAAGCTCGCAAAAATAAAATGTGGGTGGGAGACGCCACCTTGAGATTCTCGCACCAAACACAGTGACATAGATTTCAACGGCATCTACTGGGTCCTATGTGGCTTGTAATCGATAAAAGTTAAGTACATTGCCATTTATGGGGGCCATAGACTTAGCATACGAAGTTTCAGAAAATTTCATGGAGGCAATGTTGTGAAGGTACGAAAAATACATTTTGAAATTTGTGACATCACGCGTGCAGATTTCGGCGCAAAATTTAAAAATGAAACTTCGACCTCTATTTTTGCAGCTGATGATGAACTTATTACAGTTGTGTAACATATGGTGTCAGAGTTCTCAGAGTGCAGTTATATAATCTAAACCAAGTCATTGTTGCTGTTTGGTATGTCCCTTTAATGTTGTATTATCTGGGTTTCATTGTACATTTCCAGTACAGTTGTGCTACGCAGTGTAAATATAGAAAAGAACGTAGTGGACGGGATGCCTATGCCCACTTTTTCGTCCCTCGTTTGTTACGTGGCACCATCACACCAGAAATGACATTATAATGGCTGATTTTGCTCCTTGTGTACAGTGTGGGGCAAAATTTAATTGCTCTAAAATACTGATTAAAGTCACTTTTTCTTCTAGTAGAATTTCCCCTTAACATGGCTCGTGACAAAAATCACTATGTGCTCTCTGGAGAGTTTAATTTTTTATACAATCGATAGAATATTATAATTTATAAAACAAAGCAAGGAAAAGCTCATTGTCAGACAACTCATTAGAATAACTAAGGTGATTGGTTGCTTAACTAAAGAA